CCGATCTGAGATCCACCACCACCCACCGTTCTCCGCTTATTGACGACAGTGGTTTGAATGGGAAACGCAACAGCGGTCGGTGCAATAGCGGTTGCAATTGAGCCAGCGTTGCGACCAAGGATATCACTCGGAGTGGCACCGCCTCCGGGAGCAATACCAACCGCAACATCACCCTGCAGTGTCATGTTTGCTTCAGGAGGACCGCGGGGTCGAAGAGTTCGGATGTTGTCACGAGTGATCACGGTGATCCTCTTCTGATCATGAAAGTGTGAGAGGTTTAGAGGCTCACGATTAAGCGTACTATGTTTTACCTCCTTTTGACGTCCATTTGAGTTTGAACCGGCCAGGTGTGCGTTTGCTATTTGCTGGATTGCGACCTTCATGTCAATATCATTGATTATCATGATTACTTTCTTTTTTAAGGCAAAAGAAAGCAGATTACCCTCATGATGCGTATGATGTGCCGAACTTTCGAATGGATCACAGCAACCTACAAAAATTCACCAAACTGCGATCTGCCAAGCCATTTGTTTTTGTTTTGCGTCCGTAAAACACTAAGCCTCTAATGATAGCCAATGTCAACATGGACTCTTGTTCAGGACGCTGACACAGAAGTTTTCGAGCTGTATTCAATCGTGCTGCCCCAGAGAAAGGCAAACAGAGCTCGATTTGTTAAAGAAGAACACGAGAAGAATGGTGGATCTGTAAAGGGCATCGAGCTGGGGGTACATAACACCATAGTTGACCAAAGTGCTGGAGTTATCTCTCTTGATGTGGGTGGAGGTAAGAGAAAGCCGCATGCATGATCATAATGGTACAAACGAATATCAGGAAGAACGGTAGTAATACATCAGAATCAATCGAGGCAGAATCGCCCTGGGGAAACAGGACATGTGCTCTGGGATTCTGGACTCCTCCTTGCTCGCATTCTGGAAAGCGAGCACCGTTTGGATCCCTCCTCTTCGGAAGGTCATATTCAGACCGCGTCACTATCGTCATCGCCCTCCTCCCCGACTTCCATCTCATCATTAACACTGACATCTCCGTGGTTCTGGCCCCCGCCAAACATGAAACACGCTCGTTGCATTGAGTTGGGGAGCGGCACAGGCTGTCTCGGAATCTCCGTTGCGACTGCACTCTGGTGTCCCCGCGAATGGATCTTCTCGGACATCGGCGACACGCTCGTCGAATGCCTACGAAATGCCCGTGAAAACGATGTTGTCGGGGGCTCCGACTTCGAAAACGGCGACGGGCGAACAAAGCTGAACGTACACAGGAGTAATCATTATGGCCACGAAAGCCGGAAGCGTGGCGGACAATCTACAAAAGGTGGCAACCGGACTCAACGAAAGTCGGAGCCACATCACTTGAAGGTTCAGTTCGTTGAACTGGATTGGACTGACGCGCACGCAATCAGAAATCTCTCCACGTCACTCTTCCCATCTTCAGATACAGATGGTGCTGCCAGAATAGACTTTGCTTTTGCGACCGACTGCGTCTACCATGAATCTCTCGTTGGTCCTTTCGTCGCACGGCTAAAGGAAATCCATGAAATGAGCAACAAACGACGATCAGAGAACGAGTCATTTGTAAGACCAACAGTTGGATATTTGGCACAAGAGCTGCGGAGCTCGATTGTTTTATTGGAGCTTGTGAAACAGCTTTTGGAGGCCGGTTTTACAGTTTACAGACGCGAGGCATCAAATTCGAGTGAAGAGGGCCGATCCGGTATGGTCCTATATGCAATTATGGTGGAATCCTGACGCTTGTGAATAACAAATCTGACAATAGAGGAACAAACAATTTAAGATGACACTATCAATTGGTACATTATCCATTAAAATCGCAGTATTCTCTACGCTCTCCTCGCCAGCCTGCACGGGCAGCGAAAGACTCGTCAGAGATCTCTGGACTTTCCTCAGGCTCTTGCATTTCCACTTCTGTGCATTCTGTGTTGCCGACTATTGTGTCCTCCAAATTCCCAGTGTCGCATTCTCGGAAACCAACACCGTATCTCGTTGTGCCGCTCCCACATTTGACTCAGCCGAAAATGAAACACTTTTCCCAGTGGATATATTATCCAATGTCTTCATTGTCTGAGTGTAGCCTGATGTCCTTTCGATGACCATCCCCTCGTTTGCAGCCTCCTTTGCAGCCTCCTCCCGATAAATTTCTTCCTCTTCAACATTCCTCACCAGTTCCGCAATCGTTTCCACACATTCTGTAACATCTTGTTTTGTTGATTTGGTGACTCTTGGTTTGTTTCGACAATCAACCACATTGTCTATCACCACCTCTCTATGAGCTTGTGAAACCAACGGGCTCGCCAAGTCAAGCTCCAAGAAATCGTACGGCATCTGCCATCGAAACCGTTCCGCATTCGCCTGTCCAATCTTCATCTCGTCATCGGAGGCGTCAATTGCACAATTACACAATCGTCTTTTGCCGCTGAAGCGGCTGAAGCGGAGCACTTTCGCACACAGAATGCAGAAAACAACGCAAATGCTCGCGTCCATTTGCTACGGACAGACGGAGATGACCGTTGGCCAGGTCGCAAACTCTTCGGTGATCATATTGGTAAGTGAATTGGTTTTCCAACTAACGTACGAAAAGAAAGTTGAAGGAAGCAGCACAACGTTTGGTGGAGGGAAGTACGAAGGGGAACAAGATGTTTCTGGAGAAGAACAGGAAGACAAAGACCAAACTCAAGAGCTGGCCGATTAAAAGAAAAAATGAATGACGGGCAACAACAATAGCGTAAGATCTAATTATGTGAGACAACGGTAAGAGAGCAAAATAAGATGCGGGCGCCTTGGAGAGGCGATGGGTGATAGTGGCAGAAATATCTAAACCAGAATTGTTTTCAAAACACACCTAAGTATGTGGCATGCGAGAACGAACAACAGATTTTGCAGGGGCAGAGGAGAAATGGTGGCTGTCTTCAAACTGTTCACAAACTAGATGTGCTTCTTGCATTTCTGCACGGGGTTTAGCAATAGTGGCTAAAAAGAATTGTGACGTGGTGCAGGGCGGTAAACGTTGAGAAGGACGGGACTAATGGACGAAGAAGGGTTGATAAAGGATCAATGAAGGTGATGTAAAGCATGGAACAATCCACGGAGAAGGGGAAAATGCTTGAAAAGCTATTTGCAACAACAATGTTGGAAGAACAAACGTCAAACATGGATTGTAAAACAGTAACTCTTGAAATGAGTGCAAACCAAAGTAGACAATCCCAAGAACCACAGCCTCTGTGACTTAGGACCCAGATCTAACACTCTTTCCTCCTTCCAGCCCCTATAAATCAAGCGGCAGCGGGACAACACCAAGCCAAGCCATCCTCTGACAAATAATATGCTGGAACACTGTCCTGCTCATCACAACAGACACAATTCCTCTTATCAAGCTTTGCTATTATCCGCAAATGATTACACGATATCGATCAAAATCAAGGCAGACAACATGATTGGATATGATCACCAACAACACAGCTAAGCCTCAAACTGCAGTTGTTCTCCCTATTCCCACATACCCAAACTAAGGATCAGCGGGTTTTTGGCATTTTTGGCTGAGAAGGTGAATGATGGGAAAGTGTATCGTCCGAATAGGCAATAATCTTCCAATTCCGAAGTATTCACAACCGGGTGAATTTTTTGTGTCTTGGAAGTTTAAGTTTAAAAGTGTTGTCATTAATCTTGTTGTCATTAATCTTTCCAATGATTTCATAATGTTGGATTATGTAGGTTACGGGACTCTATTACTACAGTCACTTTAAACAACCGTACACATTACACACTACTACATAACAGATAGACTGGAGACACTACTAAATAACAGATAGACTGGAGATGTCCAGGAGTTCTCTATGCGGGATGCACAGAGACCTGTTGGTTTTAATTGAAAGTACATAAAAGTCGTTTACTTGGGAAGAGTAATGTGTATTTATGATGGTGAAAACCCGTACTTACATGTCTTGAGCTTTGGCATAAGATCTTTAACAAGTGACAATGTAGCTTCCATTTCCTCAACACGTTCGGCAACATCAGGATGTTCAGCATTACTAATATCAAATGAAGCAAGTGTGCATTTTAGATTGACTAGTAGACTTGTTGATTGCAAACTCAACAAACGGTAACAAGTCAGCCCAATTGTCATGTTTGTGAGAAACAAACAAATGAAGAATTTGTCCAATAGTTTTGTTTTTGTTTTCAACTTGACCATCAGATTCAGGATAAAAAGCAGTGCCTTTGGCATGTTTAGTACCAAAAAGTTTGGTAAATGCTTTCCAAAAGTCCGCAGCAAAGCTAGTATTGCGGTTTGATATAATCTCCTGGAATACCATGCAACTTGAAAACATGTGTCAGAAATTGGTTAGCGGTATCATTAGCAATAATACTGTTGTGCAAGCAAGGATTAGATGTACCATTTTAGAGAGACGACAAAAAGCAACCAGAATAGCATCATAGCCATTACTGAGGGGAAGTTGTTTGATTCAATCCAGTAGTCACAAGGGACTGGTAAACTTTTCAGTAAACCGTAAGGGCAATGAAAAGCATCTTTGTTACGTTGACATACTTCACAATGACTAACATAACGGTGGATGTCTTGAATCATATTTGGCCAGTAATAGCTCTTTTAGAGATTATGATGATATTAGAGCAGAGGATGGGCAGAATACATAGTGTCATGATGTTCATTCACAAATTATCACAGAACGTAATACCTTAGCAAAATGTATGTAATTGAGTTCCACATAAGGAACTTTTGGAAGGCATCATGTAGCCTCGTACATTGGCAATGAAAAACCAAAGCGCATCCACTACACAGACCCAAGTAGGAACACCAATGTGGTCAGTGTAATAGCATCACCCTCTGGGAATGTAGATAAGGTTGGAGCGACTTACAATAAACCATTTTTAACGTCTATCGACAACTCAAACAAGATATTCCTTATTACAGATAAGGTTGGAGCGACTTACGACAAACCAAATAAATTTTATTGCTTCCTATGAGAATCGAACTCATGATCTTGTGCTTACTAGGCACACGCTTTGCCAACTAAGCCAAGGAAGCTATAAGCTCTTTTTTCCTTTAGACCCGCTCCGTTCTCCAGATTTGATTTTTGACACTCGTTTTTCTCCTGGGTCATCGGGTACACGACGGGCTGGTGTGGGAGTCTTGATCAATCGCAGTCTTTGTAGAGCTTCTGATTTCCGTCTCGTTTCTAGTTATGGTGGCACCTCTCTATGGTTTACATTTCGTGGGCTTTTGGTTGGAGGGTATTATTTGCCTCCATGTGGTATTGCTCAGGACCCCTTCCTTGAAGAGTTTATTGCTTCACTTCCTCAACATGTCCCGTCGTCTCCGTGCCCTGTTCTTTTGTTGGGCGATTTCAATGCCCGTTTTTTAGCTACTGGTGATCATTCTTCAAATCGTAGGGGTAGGTTGTTTGAGCAATTTATTTCTGCCGCTAGTTTCTCTCTAGTTAAGCACCCTTCCTGTCATAACCCCACATTTTCTTCTCGCAATGGTGACTCCATTATCGATTTGTTGTTTGTCAATCCTCTGCTTCAATGTGATCCTATTTCTTACATAGTTCATAGTCGTCTAGCCGACGGCGAGTTTATGCCTTGGGCTTCTGACCATTTTCCGGTTACAGCTGTTTTTTCATTTGCTCCTCCCAATGCCAGCGCTCCCTCTGCTGCACCCCCCCACAAGCGCTGGGCTGCTCATCTGTTGCATGAACCTGCTGTCTTTCAAGCAATGGAGGATGTGGGACATTTGTTTTTTGATCCCACCCTTGCTGATGTCAATGCTGCACTCAGTCCAATTTTAGAAGCTCCCGCCTTTGCCCAAATGTCTGTGGATGTTGCACAGGGATGTATTGACTCTGCATTGGATATTATTTTGTCCTTTGTTACTTCCTGTGCTGCTTGTGTCATTGGACCCCCCAGTTTAGTTCACCTTCGCCCTGCCCTGCCATTGTTGCCGCCGCATTTAGTGGCCTTGCGACGGAGCTACTTACTTGCTCATAAGCACTATTTAGCTGTTTCTTCCTGTGATGATCCTGATCCTGGTTTAGTTGAGTATTGCCGCTTGGAGCGTGACTGGCTATCGCGTGAGCGTGTCAAAGCTTTTCGTACTTGGTCTCTTTCTCAGCGAGCTCGAGAGGCTTCTGGCGACAATATGTTTAGTTCTTCTCCTAGTTCTTTAACCGAGGTTAGCAAAGTTCTTTCCACCGCGCGTAGGTGTCATCAACGGCGCTCAGCTGCAAGTGGTTTATTGTCTGATCCTGCCTCTTTATCTCATTATCGCAATCACTTTGCCTCCGCTTATCAGACTCAGTTTGCACAATCCTCTGCCAGTGCAGAACACGTTCGTCTACATGCGCTGAATGATTCTGTGTCAGTTAGTGTTAGTGACTTTGTGCTATTCGTTCTTCCCCAAACAACTCTGCTCCTGGCCCAAACCATATTCCAGCTGAGTTATTTAAGCCGTTAGCTTCTGATGTTGCTATCCTTTTTGTTCAACTTTCAAACGCTATTTTCCGTTCAGGTTTGTCGCCCTCTGCCTGGAATGCTGGCTTGTTGTTACCTGTTTGGAAGAATAAGGGCTCCATTGGTGATATTAGTCAGTACCGCCCCATTACTTTAACCAATGTTGATAGAAAAATCTTTGAGCGTACCCTGCTTCCTATGCTTGTAGCTCATGTTGGTAAACTTGATCCCGCCCAAGCTGGTTTCCAGGCCAATCGTTCAGGTGTTGAGTGTGTTTTTGCATTAGATGCTACCCTTCGACAGGCTTCCCGCACTGCTCTGCCTTATTGTGTTACTTTCTTAGATATTAAAGCAGCGTATGATACTGTGCATAGGCCTCTTTTGTGGGAACGTCTTCGTCAATTTCCCAGAATTCCAAACCGTTTGATCTCTGTTTTGATGAGTATGTTTGATCGTTGTTCTGCTCAGGTTGTTATAGAGAATCGTTCTTCTGATTTGTTTTCGCTTCCACGAGGTCTTTTTCAAGGTTCTGTTTTGTCTCCGTTCTTGTACTCAGTTTTCATCAATCCTTTAGCACAGCTCCTTCGTCGTGAATCTTCTCATCTTGCTAGGTTTTCTTATAACACTCCTGTTTTCAATTCGTTGTTTTTTGCTGATGACATAGCTTTGTTTTCTGCCACCCCTGAGCAAGCCCAACGTGCATTGAAAATTTGTGAAGATTTTGCTTTAGCTTCTCATTTTGTGTTTTCACCTTCAAAGTGTGCTGTGTTATCTTCTCAACGGTTACCCACCCCCTTGAAGCTTCATGGCTCTGCCCTCCCTGTCAAGGTTTCATTTAGATACCTTGGTCACTATTTTACTATTGCAGGGTTTGATCTTGCTGCAACTATTGATCATCGCTTAGAGAAAGCTCGTGCCTCATTGTATCTTTTTGCACCTTATGTCTCGTACTTTGGTGGGTCTGCTCCTCGTGTTGCCAGGTTGTTGTTTTTGTCTTTTATTAGACCTTCACTTGAGTTTGGTTTAGCACTTATTCGGCCTTCCACTGCTCAGCTTCAGGTACTCGAGCGTTTTTGTTATCATGCACTGTGTCGTCTGTTTTCGATAGCCCATACCACTTCGCGTGTTGGTTTGTTGCTGTTAGCGCAAATTCCTACTTTTGAGTTCAGGCTGAAGTACCTTCAGGCACGTATGTTTGCTCGCTGGTCTAGTGATTCCAGCCCTCTGTTACCAACTGCTGTGTTGCAATTCTATCGGTCATCTCCAGTCGGTTATGGTTCATCTCCTTATTTTTCCGCTTGTCACAATGATCTCATTGTTCCTATGCCTGTTGTGCTCCCACTTCATCCGTTGATGTTGCATTTTCAGTCTTTAGCTGTTGCGCATAATGGACCAATTGCAGTTTCGTTTGCCCCTGTCCGCAATTTGAAACTTCGCCACCCTTTGTTGCTACCCCCACACCAACATCTCCCAACAGTATGTCTTCGTTTGTTCCTGCTATATCGGCTTGGCCGCCTGTTTCCAAACCCCCGACCTTATTGTAGGAACTGTCATGATGCCCCTGAAGTGTCGCGTGCCCATGTCTCTGTGTGTCTACATTTGCGTGCTAGTTTGTCTGCTAGTTTTGATTTAGGCCCGCCTGACGATCCCCGCCTACCTCTTGACATTGCAATTGATATGCTTTCACCACGGCCTTTTTATCCTTCCCCTGCTTTTTCCCAGTGGGTTCTTGTTCTTCGTGCACTTAACCGCATTTGGTCAAACTGTCTTGGTTATGAGTTAGTTTTGTCTCCAGCTCCTGATTGTATCTTGTCTGCTTTTGTTGATTTGGATATGCCTTAGTGTTTTGAAACATTTTACTTTTCCTACGGCTCGCACGGCTCCCCATGTGCTGCCAATTTACGTGTATTTTTACACTTGTATTTGGATTTTGCACCAGCGGGTGATATGTATTGGTTGGACAATAAATACATATTATGAAGTTCAAAAAAAAAAAAAAAAAAAAAAAACTCTCTCTCTCTCTCTCTCTCTCTCTCTCTCTCTCTCTCTCTCTCTCTCAAAAATCAATGCCGCCTCCCAGCGCTCCGCCTGCGCAGCCGCCTGACGTGCCGCATGCCGCGCCGCCCGCCGCACCCCCCTCAAAAATTTTCATCGCTTCTGGCCGTGCTCGCTCCCGTGCTCCCTCTGTGTCCCACCCTCGCGCCCCTCAGGAAAACATTCCTGACTCTCAGCCCAGCAACTTTGATGGAGAAAATTTTCTGTGGGCAGATGAAGTGAATTCTCCTCGCGAATCACGTGACTGCCGATCACGTGACCAACCATCATCCACTTCAGAACCGCCTTGAATTAGAGGAAGATCCCCCGCAAGTGTCGTTGATGTTCAGATGAATGATACAGTCGAAATGTCACTTACTCTTGCTGATGCTGATCCCAAAGGGAAACGTCGAGCATCAAAATCACCCCCGACTCGCCGACCTGCCTCTCGTGCCAGGGTCGAGAAGAATGCCTCTGCAGCTGATCATGCTACCTCTCCCTTGCCTACTCCTCGTGACCGATTCTTGGATGCTCTGCATATGCTGGCCCCTGCTCAAACTTCTGGATCTCATCCATTAGTGATGTCTGCTTTCACTCGTGCAATGCAATTTCTCCCAGTATTGGAACCAGAGACTGAGGCTGCCTTCTTTGCTGCATTGACTATTGCTGTAGTTCCGTTGGTTGAAACTATCAGCTGCCCTCCTGCTGCTGTCTCTGCCGTGCCTTCCTATGCTCAAGTTGCGAGTGCTAGCCGACCGCCACCTGCCCCTGCTACTCGCAATCCTGGGCCTTTCAGCACTGCAAAATTTGCCTCTCGTGCATCAAATGCTATTGTTCGTATTGAAGCTGCCGAAGCAGATGCTCAACCCGCCCTTTATCGCTCAGTGGTTGCTGGAGTGGACCCCCTATCTCGCAGATCACTACGGCCACCCAGATTGGTGATTGATTACCCGGCTGAGTCACCAATTTTGATCAATCCTCCTAAGCCTGTTCGTGATCGTGCTGCTGGTTTTGCTACTGTGAGGTTTAAGGAAATTAGTCGTCAGCCACTTAATCAGCTCCGCACTCTGATTAATCGAATTTCTGGAAACCCTCAATTTTCCCGTGACATTCGCCATATTAGTTTTATTGGGCGTAACACTGCTGAGTTTATTTGTACTTCTGACTGTGCTGACAAGCTCCGCAAGGACATTTTTCCAGGTGATGAGGTGCCCGTTGATCTTTTTGACCCTGGGCAGCTTCGTTCTGGGTCTGTTCAATCACTTGAGCAACGTCAAGTTGCTGTAGCAAAGGCTGTTCACAAAAGATTTGCTCACCTCTTGCGAATTACTCATGATCCTGCAGTTTTTCATTATCTTCGTTCTAATCTTCCTGCTGCAGACTTTGAAGCTACTGTTTCTTTAGCCCGTTCTTCGCGTTCTGAACCTACATCTCGCAATTAATGTGGACTTTTCGTTCTGGAACCTTCAACTGTAGAGGTTTGCCTCTGGATTTTTCAGATTTACTTGCTTGGCTTGTTACTCATCAGCTTGATTTTTTAGT